GGGGGTGTTGGTTTTGTGGTTGTTGTTGTTGTTACAGACATTTCAAAATCATCAAAATTTAAAACTCGTTTTTCTCGAAACTGTGAAAAGTGGATAGATCTACATGTAATCACTTCTTGGGCTCAGCTGTTGGATTGAGGATCTACCTCGGAACGTCAAAAGTCCTAAGGATAGATGCACTACGAAAGGAGCAGGTTACAGTAGAGGAAAATGCACTTGAAGACGTCGATTCCTTCTACTATCTTGGGAGTATAATTGACAGAGAGGGGGGAATAGGCGCTGAAATAAAGTCCCGTATTGGAAAGGCACAGACAGCATTTATTTCTTTGAACAGGATTTGGAGAACCAGGGATATCTCACTATGAACAAAGCTGAGGACTTTTAACTCAAATGTGAAGTCAGTCCTGTTGTATGGATGTGAGACATGGAACGCATCTCAGACGCGCATAAAGAGGATCATGGTTTTCTTGAACAAGTGTCTGAAGAAGCTACTTAGGGTCAGATGGACAGATAGGATCACCAACGAGGAAGTATTAAGAAGAACGAGACAGAGCCCAGTCAGAGATGAGGTGGGAAGAAGGCGTTGGCGATGGATTGAACACACTTTCAGGAAGTCAACCAGCTGCTTAACAATAAAAGTATTAGGTTGGAACCCACAGAGTAAAAGATCAGGGGGAAGACCACGCGGAACCTGGAGAAGAGTCACAGAAATGGATGAACAGAAAAGTGAGAAGACATGGAGTGACATCAAGTGACTGGCCCAGGATAGGGAAATGTGGAAAGTGTTTGCTCGTGGCCTATATCCTGACCTAGGGTGAAAAAGGCAATGATGATTCATTGATTATGATCTTGATCTTTCTTCCGCTTGGATGTTGCATCCCTCTCAGCCCGGGTTGGCCCTGACAGGCAGGATCGGAAGCCTGCCTCTTAAATGATTAAAATGTTGTCAATAGGGTCGTAAACACATCTTCATTAAAAAAAATATATCCGTGTCTCAAAGTGATGGGTGAAAATATAAAAACACCAGATATGCCGATATCACAGTTTTATTTGCCGATCAAGAAAGGGAAGCCCACCTCCAGGATACTTATAAATTGTGTCAATTGGGGTGTAAATACACCAACATGAATACGGGGAAAGATCAAACGTGTTCAACAGTTAAACGCCTAAGATTTATAAATAATTTAAAATGTATCACATGAATCGAAGGATAATGAGCCCAATCCTGAAAAATAGAAAAAATATTTCAGTAATAACCAAACCAAGAGCTTTAATAGATAACATGATAATTATGATCAACCCTCTATGCAGCGGTGAATGCTGGACAATTACTAAAGATTGTGAAAACAAACTGAAGCAGTCGAATCGTGGTTTTATAGGAGATCGTTAGAAATCAGGGAAGGAAAATACATTGGATAAAGTAGTGCTGAAAGAAGCCCACTACACGTGAGCCGTTGTCTATTACCTAATGCAGTTCCTGGAGCATTTGAGTGAATCATCATATAGGCTTTTATCGCCTTACTCTCACCGGAAAATTGGAAGGCGGAACCCCCCCCCCCCCCTTTACACAAAACCCCACCAGAAACAACAAGGCAGGGGGTAAACCAATAATTAGTTACCTAAGCCTAAGGGATTTGGGGGGGGGGGGGGGTTACGCCTGAAGACTATATCTCGCTTATTAGTGAATCAATTGTTACCAAATTTCATTCATATAACAAATAAATATAGTGAAGAGTCTTCAAATCCTCAATCAAGTTTGAGAAAAAAGTTCACTGCCATGGAGGCAGCGGCCATATTGGATTTTGTTGACATGTCTTATACATTGAATACCTCCTTTATTTTTCATGGAAATACAATGACAATGACAATGACAATCTTTATTCATCTCGCAGGGAAAATTTGTCTTGGTCGTTAACAATGGCAGCAGACGTTACAAAAGTTAGACTTAAAGGTGCACTCACGCAAACGCACAAGACAGGACATTAGGCCAAGTAAATACATGTCTCACGGGCTGGGACAACCCGCTCCGTAAAACATTCATTCTCTCTCTCTCTCTCTCTCTCTCTCTCTCTCTCTCTCTCTCTCTCTCTCTCGCCCCCCCCCTCTCTCTCTCTGTTTCATTTGCAGCACTGTGTGTTCAGTAACCTCACTGCAGTTGGTACGAATGAATTTCTATATCTATCTGTTCTTGCTTTTTTTTGGAAATGTATCGTTTACTGCTGGTCGATAGTTGAAATTCCGATGTCAGTGGGTGGCTATGGTCACTAAGCATTATTTCCGCCTTTTCTAGAACGTTTGTCTTGTGCAGATGTTCAAAGTTACTTAGGTCTCTACCATTTGTTCTTGATGCCTTTCTTATCAACTTGTTTATTTTTATAATGTGCTGCCTTCCCAGATTGCTACCATAGCAAATGATACCAAAATTTATCAAAGTTTCTATTGTGATGGAGTAGAAAATCCGAAGGATGGATGGATTCAGATTGAAAGACTTTAGTTTCCTCAGAAAGTACAGCCTCTGATTTACTTTTTTAACGATATTGTTTACGTGGTTTTGCCATGTAAATTTGTTGTCCAGGGGAAATACGAGGGGCATTCCAAATTTTTTTTTTACCTGACCATGAAGGAATAAAAGTAGAAAGCTGAAATTTGGTACTAAGCTCAACATTTCTCTTTGTAGAGCTAGCCGTCTCCCACTGTTATATATTTTTGCCATGGGCGTATGACCCTGAAAAGACATTGAGAATAGAAGACCTTCCTTTGGTCAGAAAACCATCGCTCTATCGCTTCTTTAACCTCATCATCACTTTCAAAATGCTTTCCTTGTAAATCCCTTTTCAGTTTGGGGAATAAAAAAAAAGTCGGACGGGGGTAAATCTGGAGAATAAGATGGATGTGGCAAAATTCCATGGCCACATTCTCGCGTAGTCTCTACAGCTTTTCTTGAAGTGTGTCCTGGCGCGTTGTCGTAAAGCAGCAAAATGCCTGTTCGGATCTTTCCTCTGTGTTTTCCTTTTATAGCCTCTCGTAATTTTTTTTAGCTGGTTAGAATTATGGTCTCCAGTGATCGCATGTCCATCTTCAAGATAGTCTGTCATAATCACTCCTTCTTGGTCCCAAAAAAACTGATAGCATCACTTTTCCACTTAATGAATGCACCTTTGTCTTCTTTGGTGTTGGAGACCAGGGCGATTTCCACTACGATGAGGTAGATTTTGACTCAGGATCATCGTGGTGGACGCATGTCTCATCCATGGTTACAAGTCTTTGAAAAAAGTTATTTTCATCCTTTTCATACAGACCTAGCCTTTCTTGACAACAATCCACATATTGCACTTTTTGAGGAGTCAACAAACGTGGGACACAACTCGGAGAAACCTTTTTCATATTCAAATGTTCATTAAATATTCGTTCAACTGATCCAATGTGGAGCCTAGTTTCTTTGCTCAAAAGTTCGACTGTCACCCACCAATCAGACAACATAACTCTCTTGATTTTCAACACCTTCTCTTCTGTTGTTGCTGTCACTGGGCGACCATCACGGCGGCCATCTTCAAGTCCATGAATCCGCATTAAAAATTTTTAAAACGAAAATTTAATCACAGTGTAGGATGGGCAATCAGTTCCATTTACGGTATGCATCTCCATAAAAATACCTTGTACTTGCTTGCATTGCGAAAACAAGAACTTAATTATTGACCTTGCTCAATTATCTTCATTTTTATGTTGAAACTGGAGAACAACATATCCCCATTCACTAACAGTGCGCTGGTGTTAAAACCAGTGATCAGAAATTCTCCCAAATTTACATGCATTCTAGGAAGATGATTGTTGGCTTTTCCCCAAATTTCAGCTTTGTACCTTTATTCGTTCATGGTCAGGTAAAAGCCTTTTGGTTTCCCCCTCGTATGTTGTTATTTTGCATGCATCTTAGCAGACAATAAATCTGCAAAAGTGTCTGTTGATTCTTTTTCCATAACTGATTTGAATTTTTTGAATTAATTTAATTGTTGTGGTAGTATTCAAGCTTGCAAAAAATCTGTGAATATCCACGCCCAAGACACCTCCAACACAATTTTATTTCATAGATGGAAAATTCAACAGACAAATTTTAGCGTTACATCTTCTCTTCATTCTACGAAAATTGGATGAAGATTGGATAAAAAAGATGCAGTGATTTTAAAAAGTAATATAGAAAACT